TTCCATAGGTCAGCTGGATCATAAACATTACACCATAATGTGCATGTTTCCCAGATCATTGGGATGTTTATAGAAGAAACACTGCCCAGGTAGGCAAGCCTTTCCCTTCTCCATACATACACTCAAAGTGGAAGACTCTGAAAGGTTATTCTAGAAGCCCACGGAGTTCAAAGCACAACAGGTTTCATGAGGGAAAAAAAGATGTGTGCTAATCATATAAGCTGAGCAAAATCCACACACCAAACATCCAAGAGAAAGACGAGACAACCTCAGCTGAGAAGCTGAGGAGGACATATGAAAGCAAGGCCACCTCCAGCACTCTTAGTGCAGCACGTCAAGGGATTTCAGGGTTTTGTGGACACACTCAATTGTCACCACCACCCTCAGCTGCAGGTTAAAGCCAAAGAGATGGAGTGATGTTGTCACGCCAGTAAATGATGGATTCCAGGCAGCCTGTGAAAACACACTTGAGGCAGGTGTCATCTGCCGTCACAGGGGGCATTTTGCATATTCTGAAAAAAAATGCCAGACTCCACAACTCAGCACATCCTACCCAAAAGAAAACAATTATTTTTGCTACTTGGGCACACACTTTCTCTTACAAACCGCAACGCGCTCCTTGCACCCCAGGCTTCAGTAAATACTCCAAAGATGCAGGTCACCAGAAGCATTCTCAGGATAACCGAAAGCTCCCTCCATGTTTCACTGGGAAGCCACACAGAGTTGTGACTGGTTACTGTAAATGTTTTCAGGACAGAAAGTCCTCGGCTTGGCCTGCTTGTCACAGCATCTTGTGGATTTTAACACCAACAGCTACAGTGGAAAGCCTGTGAAGTCTGATCTGTACCAGAAGCTGTGTGCACACTACATGCAAGAAGGCACTGCAGCAAATGGATAAAAGGGGACGAGCCCAGAGCAGCATAAACACACAGCTGGTGCTTCCAGTTGCACCGTGGTGGGATATGCTCAACTAAAGTGACCACCCACAAAATCCAGTAAGAATCCCTCTTACCCTGTCCAGCAAGAAACAAGCAGGGGATGGAGGGATGGCTGTGCCCAGCAAGCTGAACCAGGATGGCACAGCACCGCAGGGGAAAACGCTCTCCAAAACGTGCTGGCCTCAATGCAGGAAGGCAGAAGAGCAAGTCTTGGAATGAGCACTCCAACACACACCTGGAGACCTCCAGAATAATTACCAAAGTATGTATTTCTAAAGGTTCATCCTATAGCTCTCCCATTTTTGCCCTCTTACCTAAGAAAAAGGGAATATAGGATTACAAAGATGTTAGGGACTAGCAACAAAATCTAGGAAATACTCAGGCTGCCACTCTTGCTAAGTTTGAGGCCAAGGAGGCTTTCGAGATGATATGACATAGTCAAGTCTCATTATTTGCTCCCAAGCTTAAAACACCTCTTCTGCTTCCATATGTATGAAAACCAGCTCAAGCTCAGTGACCTCAGTGAAAATAGTAAAATACCCAGGTATCTGAGACAGGCTCTCTCCATTTCTCCTCCTTCACCTGCCTTGATGACACGGGACGGCACATGACAGGTATGTCATTTCCCACACAATTTCCCCCCACCCAATAAGAAGCTTATTACATGTCTTTTTTTCTACAAGTGAAGGAGGAGTGCAAGGAGATCCCGACACATATGGAGAACAAGAGCCATGGGACGCATTTCTGAATTGTCTCCAAGAAGCAAATCCAGTGCCCCCAGACAGCAACACTACTGCACCAGGGGCTACACTGAGCCTGAAGGCAAAGAAAATGTGATAAGACAAACGCCACAGCATACTACAACCTTTCAAAAATTAGAAGAGGAAGGAAAGACTACTTAGGAGAAACCAAGTGACTCAGCAGATAGGAACCCCATTTTCCATTCAAAATACCTATCTCTCCCCAAAGGAAAAGCAGCTCAACACAGACAGAAATGAGGTCTCCTCTCCTAAAAGTCAAACAACAGTCAACTTGCGACAAAAGACCAGCAACAGCATCACCAACCAGGGCTGCACCCAGGTTCTGCAAAAAACTCTTTGCCCTGTGGAAGAAAAGAGCCTCCCAAAGACAGCAGGAGAGTGGGCAGCCTATGCCCAGCTCAGCCCAACCTCAGCACTAGCAGTAATGACCACCCATCACACCTCACATACATGAGATGGGACCCATGAGCTCTAACAAATTGCTGACATAACGATCAACAAGGCAAAGCAATTAATAAGGGGTGGCATTTTTGTTACTTTAGCTGCAGCAATTAATACAGGTGGAATGAAACTCTCCTACAGAATTAGGGCACCATAGAAGATGGATGTTTTCCTTACCACAATGTAATTAACAGAAAGCCCCCTGAAATCTCAGCAGTCACACACATACATGCTAGACTTACTGCACGGAATGAGTTGGACCTGGTAAATCTGTAGTTAGCAAATTTGGGGACCATCTTAAGTGGGTGCTGAGTAAAACAAATGGATTTTACCATATAGAAATTATACAATATGGGGATGTAGCAAATTGTTCTTTGGGCAGGGGCAGTTAAACAGGCACTAAGCAGCATCAAAACTCGCTATCTCTGCACAAGCTATTTATTCCCAGCCTCCAGATGACTGAGAAATAGGCAGGTTGACTAGTGATGGACCAGGATGTCACTGTGGGCTGACACTGTTCTGCTATTTATGCTCTCACAAGTGACTGAATTTGACAGGGATAGCTGATAACCTTCTGAAAATAACTGAACTATCAAAGAATGTGTGTCTTAACTAACACAGGTTTTGGATTTTGCAGCTTGTAAAAATGCAGATTGATTCTCAATCTAAGCAGATGATCTTCAGTTCTACCATGGAAGATATTAAAATGGGATAGCTATTGTCTAAGGACAACTGAATTGCATAACTCCCTTTCTGAATATCTTTATTTGGCTTTTATTGAGAACTTAAAAGTCAGCTCCCTCCCTTGCAGCAGGTCAGATACAAATCTTACTATTTTTTTTTTTTTATTTAAATAATTAGATGGCCTTTTTTTTCATGTTCAAACAAGAGCAAATTAGAGAAGTTAACATGTGCGGGGCAATCCAGATGTTACAACTCTCCTGACCACGTTCATATGGCCTGGGTCACCCCAAAAAGCACATTTCTTGCTTCACTAATGACAAACTACTGTAGCTCTACTAAAACACAGCCAAGACTGGTACATGCAGGCTTTGGAGATGATCTCCTCAAACTACTTCATCTTCCAGATCTCCTCTGCAGACAGACACAGCCACGTACAGCAGGAAGAACGGGAAGACTTCATACCCTGTCTGTTTTTAACGTGTTCCAGGTAGAGTGAGTGCATGGCTTGGTCCATTACTCCCACCGCTAGCAGGGCTTTGGCAGTACCCTGCCTGAATGTTGGTAAAAAATTATCCAGCCTGAAGGTACAATTGTTGCTGGGGAGGGTCAGTGTAAGAGGCAGCTGAACACCAGCCAGAACCTCATACATGTGTCACCAGTGATTTACTGGGCTCCTCCAGGCACTCGGTGCAGTTTAAGGACTGGTGCTTACAGGTTCTTTGCTGTAGCAATGGACCAAAACTGATGAAGTCAAACGCCTGTCCAACTACATAGGGATGCTCCAAGCAGGAGAAAAGGCAGAGCAGGTATCAACAGTGAGAAAAAGAGGAATTCCCAAATTCCCAGGTATTTGGGAATTGCTTTCATGTAAGGAGACATTATTTCATGGGAGCATAATTGTGGAAAGAATATGGAGAGGTATTTAGTTAAAAGGAGTGCCATGCGTAACTACAGATTCCCCAGCGGCCACAACATAAACTGGGAATTGTCAGGAGATGGAAGAGGAAATAAAAATTGTCACTAGTGGTAAGATTAATAATTAATTCTAGAGCCTTCTCTCTCCGTGCTCACCACCAGCACCCCGGTGGGAATGTGCCAGGCTCTTTTGCAGCAACAGAATTATTTCTGTAAAACATTTTTGTAAGTTTGCAATACCTCTGTAACTGAAAATAGAGGGAAATGCAAGCATTTAGTGGGACCTTTGAAACCCCAGCTGTGAAGACTCATTAACTGTAAGCACATTTTCACAGATGCACAGCTCTGAATCTGACTCATGACTCTCCTCCCATGACAGCGAGACTTGGGATTCAGGTAAAAAGGCTTGAGAGAATTGGTATAGATTCTTACTGAAGCAAACGAGGAGGAAGAAGGCAGCAGAGAGGGGACATAAGGGATGTAGTGAAGGGAGATCAATCATTCAGTGGCTTTTCCTGAGTGATCCATCACCTGCAGTCCCACGGCACAGGTGGGGGTAGGAGAGATGGGAATCTATCTTTTATCTAACAAATTCTACACATCTTGCTCTTGTGTGGTGGACAACTGCTCTAGCCTCAAATACCAGGTCAGAACAAAGGCTCCCCTTGGATACTTACTGACTGAAGATTTAAGCCATTATGCACTTTTAAGGGCTGGGAACATTCAGATTTACCAGGCACAACTACAACGTAGGGCAGTCCTCGAGTTTGCAGCTCCGGCTTGCCAAAGGACAGGATAGGTATGGGGGAGAAGCACAATTCAGAATCTCTCCCACAGGCACAGCATATGGCAAAGCAGAGCGTGCAAGTCAGAGCTGACTCAGAGGCCTCACCTACAGTCACATATGTGTGTGTGCGCGCGCACACAGCCGGGGGAAGCATTTGTGCTAGAACTCTTCCGACCAGATTTCAGTGCCAGTACAAAAGCAGCAGGGCCAAAACCTGCACGAGGAGTATGCCAGCCACCAGCCTCTAGAGGAGGGCAGACCATTTGGTGTCCAGCAGCTCCTTCCCACTGGCATTTCTAAGCCTTTTACAAGTTTCTGGAAACAACATTTAAAATGCAGCGTTGTGTATTATACAAGAACAGATCTTCCTTTGAATGCTCCAAAAAAAATAAAAATAACCTCATTGGCTTTCCACCACCCCACCAAAAAAAATTTTAAAATCTTCTAGCAGCATTGACCGAAGTGTAAAGCAACCTGATTGGCTTCCATGCATCCGATGGCCTCTTCCAAGAGTGAAAACTCCACGCAGACATAGCCATAGTCGTAACCTGGGGACAGCATTTAAATACAGACGGGAGTCATGTTAGTGCCTTGTCATAAAGAAAGCCACATTCAATATTCAATTTCCCTTTCCCTCCAATGACAAGCCCCCTAACCACCACCCCTCTACTCCAGAATGAAAAGGAGAGAAGTCAGGGACTAGCTGGATGATGATTAACTGTGCAGTTTATCATGAATGTTAATAGTACAGTGTTCCCACTTCCCCTTACACAACCCAGTGACAGGCACACCCTTCCTCTGGCTAAGAAATAATTGCTTTGTGGTTTTTTTTAAAGGCATAGTGATTTTCCATTGCTAGTTTCACATTTTGTGGTACCTTGGAGGTACTGCTCTCCAAAGCAAGTGTTGATAAGTCATTTTGAAGTATCTCGCTGCAAATGCATTTTATGAGAAGAGCCAGCATTTTAACTGGGCAGTATTTCAGAAAGAACTAACATGGTTCCTTTGCCTTCACTATTTTTCCTTCAACACCTGCTTACTTTTGAAATCCAATCCCTTAAATTATGAAAAAGTGCAGCAACGCAGGAATGAGAACTCCAGCTTTCTACTTTTGGTATAGATGCTATTGCACATGTAACAAGAGGGAGTGGGAGCTTAAATTTAGATGCGAGAAACTAGAGAGGCTTTACTCTCCTCATTCCTTGTGAAGATATCATCTCAGCCAGTGGCAGAAGGGACCCACTGGTTCAACTGTGTCCTCCAGTTCCCTGTGCTGAAATGTTACATCCCACAGGAAAGGGCAGGGTGAACACTACAGATGCTAAGACCATCCTAAGAGCCATCCTATCTCCAAGAACTGAAGCACTAAGGAATAACCTAAAGTCACAACCCCACCATCCACAAGCCAAGGCCACCTCACTCCAAACCAGTGCTTTCAAGATGATCATGGGCTGAGATGCTTCCACATGAAGAAACAGCGAGGGTAAGGGCTTTGCTCCCTCCCCCTGCTGCTCTTTCAGCTGGTTAGGAGTGAGAGGAAAGCCAGCTTGTGGATGAGTTGTACCATTCTATAATTCAATGATTTGTACTTCACCACATCAGAAATAAGGCCACATAAGAGTGTTCCACCACCAAACCCTACCCAAGCGTTTTGTTTTTTGTTTTTTTTTTTTCTTCTGGGAGCTCTTTGCACACTGTTCTAACAACACAGTCCTGACTTTGCACATTTGCCTTTATAATGAGACTCCAATTTGTATCTAGCTCCTCCTCTACCTCGCACAGGAATTTATTCCCCTTCTCCCTGTTGTTTTAGTCAATATAATCACACGAGAGGGAAAGGTATCAATCTGGGTGCTTTTCAGCTCAGTGAAAGGCGCAGGGCAGCAGCATGCAGTCTGTGGCGGAATGCAGGTAAAGCCACCTGATATTCCCACATGAAGTGGGCACCTGGAACTAGAGATACAGTTTCAGTTGGCAGGACAGACAGAACCACACCACCCAGCTGTTCCCACTCTGCTCTGCAGTTCCAGCCACACTAAATCACACTGTGAAAATGAAGCAGTTCTCTCCAGGAGCAGTGCTGCCCCTTTCTGGGAGACTGTTTTGCATTCTGGACAGATAGATACCTCTGCTGCTTCACGGCACAGCGTGCAGGCTCGTTTTAAAGTCTTATTCAAATCCAGAACTCTGGAGTCACTTCTTTCCCTCCTCTTTAGAAAGGGTTGCCTGAATGGTATTTGTCAGGCTGTAAGGCTCCCAATGCCCCTGCACAGAGAGGATTTTTGAAAGCTGCTATAATCAGCAAGCCAGGATCAGAGTGCTATCTTATCTCCATGTGCATGGGAGGTAAGAGGTCTCCTAAGAGACAGAAAGTAAGACTGCAAAAGTTTTCCCTCTGTTTGCTCTCTGATGAGAGGCAGTTTACATCCCACTCCTCGTGGAGTGAGTAAATGGTTTAGGCATGGACTTAATCCAGCATGACACAACCAAGAGTGCAACACTGAATGTTATGAGTAGGTAGAAGAGCTGAGAAGCTTGGAGGAATGTACACTAGAGGATCGCTCCAAACATCCTGTGGAGACACAGAGATAGCCAGCACTTGTCTCCTCATGCTCCTTCTTACCTCTGCCTTCCACCAAACCAAACCCCACTAATAAGCACAGCTGCAGTAACATGTACTATGAGAACCAAAACCAGAAACTGTGCCCCCATATCCTGTCAAAAGGAGCTTCAGGCCAGATGTTCAGCTCTCATGGTCAGGTTGCAGAGGGACACAGCATTCTGCAATTCCCTACAAGCTGTCCTTGCACAGACAGTGCCGAAGTAGTGGTGCAAGAAGAGAGCAGCCTGGAGCCACCATTCCACTCCAAGCTGCTCATGAAAATTTGTGGAGGTTCGACACTTTCCCCCCACTCCCAGATCCAGATCTTTGCAGAGATCTGACAAGCAGGCTCAGCATGCAAGAACTATGGAGTAACATCAGCCCTGGATGGTATGACACCTCTGCTTTGTCTCCCTGCCCCTGGCACCCTTCCAGTTCAAAAGGCTGAAACGGGGGGCCTGTGGCACAGCAGCACTGCTACAGAGTGCTACAATTCATATGCAAGATTTCACATGAGTACATAAATACTGCTACCTTTTTAATCTGATCCTTCACTTACTGAAGTGCAATACCACTGTTTCAAGATCCACAAAAAAAAAGTAAAATGGATAAGAAGTGCTTTATGTTTTGGCAGAAGTATATTTGAGCAACATGGACTCTGTCAGAAAGGAAAGAAATCAGGATTTCCCCAGCACTCTGCAGCACAGTGACACCACTCAGATGAACATTCCCACAAGAGCAGCCCCCCAATACTTGAATACACAATCCTTTACGGATGTCCACCAAGCACGCTTGGTTGTTTTCGGCACTGAAAATGGGCACGACCACTTACTACTCAGGATTAAGAACATATTTAGAGCTCCAGGAAGCTGCTCTGCAAACATTTGAATAAGGAATATCTTGCCTCTGAAACAGATGTGTTTCAGTGAAGTAAAATGTGACAACAAATAGCACGTCCCTGTTAGCATGCCATGGTTTGGCTAAAAACCCAGAAAGCCTAACATAAAATTGCTGTTCTTTGGCTTCAGATAAAAATATCAAAGACTCAGGATTTAAAATAAGACTTGTTTCTATATGCACAGAGCTTCTACTGAACAACTGACACATAGTTATGTGTTATTTCATGATAGTTTGTTATGTCAAAGATCTAAATAAAGGAAAACCATGAAGTTGTTCTGATAGGGGCTGTACACAGTGTGAAGACATCAAAAAAAAAATCTCACAGGAATTTTAGGAGGTCAAATTAAAAGTTCACATAATCGCAGCAGCCTTGCCTGTGCCAAATCAAAGATACTTCTGGAAAGAAGGCAACATGAAAAATGCATCCAACTCAAAGAGGTGATCCAGCTCCTGGATTCTGGGAACGAGCACACAGTAAGTCACGTTACTGCCCACCCCTACAAGGTTAAGGCATTAGGTAACCTTATCATAGAATCATTTAGCTTGGAAAAGACCTTTCAGATTGACTCCAACCATTAACCCAGTACTGCCAAGTCGACCACTTTAACTATGATCCTCAGTGCCATGTCTACACATCTTTAAGTCAGTGTTGAACCATCACTCGCCTTCTCAACAACTGCTACAAAACCCACCTGCTGTGCAGCAATATGAACATATTCCCCCTCCTCTGGCCTGGAAGGTAAGAAGATGGCCACCTATTGAAGTGACTCTGCAAACAGGTTGCCAAAAGACACTATGCTAAACTGGCCAGCTGGGCTAGCTGCGAATGTGGTGGAGGTCCCTGCATTTGCCAGATGGTGCCACACAGCCCGAAGGCAGATGATAACGACAGAGTCCCCATAGGCAGAGAGCTTCTCAACCATCGCAACACCACTTCACCTGCGTTTTTTCCTGTGAGATGAGACAAAACTGCAACAGAAGAAAAGCATTTGCAGTTTTGGGCACTTGTAGGACTTGGAGAGAAAGCACATTAAAGCAGAGCTGTGGCCAGCCTGTTGAAGTCAGGACATTCCTGTTGCATGCTCTTTCCGGAGACAGCACAGCAGAGCAGAGCAAGTGAGGAAATCGTCTACAGAGCTCCATCCACATTACAGAAGAAAGTTCTGTTGGTTCAACAGCAACTACAGTATAAGGTATGGAGAGAGTATGAAGGGTTTCCACATCTCTTAGAGGAATGGGCATTCTCACACGCTGACCTTTGCACAGCTCAGGTGGTAGCAACAGGGTTTTGCACACTGTTCTCAGAGAATCTGCTGTTCCTTGGTCAATGTGAAGAGCCACCTCATCTGCAGATTTGGGCAACACACTCATAGCCCCAGACACAATTTTTTTCTGTTTCCTCCAATGAAAGATGCAGGTATAGTTCGTCCATACTAAACAGTGGATAGCTCATCACAAGAAAATACTGGCTATTACTGCGTGCTGTTATTAGCAGGCATAATACACTCTATACATCCAAGCAGGCAGGAGCTCCTGTACATGCACAGTAGTGGCTATATCTGTGGAACACCGAGTCCTGCCGTTGTGGTGAGGACAGACAACGGCACAGAACTTTCTGTGGCGAGCAGAGAAAACAGAGCCGTTTGCGCAGCCTGGAAACTTGGGAGGCAACCCCACGGCACGGCAGGGAAGGGTGGCAATCTATCTGTGCTTACAGGAGCTCAGAAGCCAAAACCGAGAGCTCTCAGTACCAGCTGGTGGATTCTGAGCATCCATAAATTTGTCAGATCTCTTTACTGCACAGATAAATTGGTCTTCAGAGTGACTAAAGCTGAAGAGCTGTACCAGCAAAAGTTTGCTGTTGAATATTAAAGAGGACGATCTGCAACAAGCCATATCCTCAACTGCTTTCAAAGGCTGAGCATTCACAAGCCACACCTGGCTGGTGGGAAAAGAAGGCCTTTCCCTTCATACGGCCCTTACAGATTTATCCACTCACACGAGAACAGCACCAGAACCACAGGATATGAAACAGCTGCATACTGA